GTATAAAAAAAAGTGACGACATATTTAAAAACAAACGAAAAATATTAAATGTACCCATTTTTATGCTCATTTATTGTGGTTAAAAAGTTGTTTTTCTTTAATTCCAGTCGACTAGAATGTTACAGGCAAGGAACGAAAAATATGGCACTTCTATGCGTAAAAATGTGCGCTTTTTATACTGGAGAAAAATTCTTTTTTTTAGAAAAAATTGAGTTGCTAACAACAGAGGGTGTCTTCATCGTTTTGCTTTCAAAAAATGTTTTTTTCGTCGCGTAAAAAACGCACATTTTTACGTGCCGAAACGCTGTATATTTTGTTTCTTATCTGCCTGTAAAATGAAGACTAAGATATCTGTTCGGATTGCAGAAGGTATGTGATTTGAATTATACGAAAGGCATCTTTTTCTTTCATTCTATCACATTCAATCAGTAACAACTCGTCGCCAATGGGTCTGTACTTATGAAAGCTAACATTTATCTTTTTGCAAAATTTGATCAAGCATATATATTTTTTTTAATTTATGATTTATGAAGATAGAATTGATTTTTCTTTATTATTGCCTCGTCTAAATAAATAGAAACCATATTTTCCCAAAAAATTTACGTGTAGATAGTAGCTTTTTTTGCCTTTATCTCTAATAGAGTTCGCCATTTTGTCCTACATAACTAAGAAGCAAATAGTAACTGTCAAATTTTCGCCTACCATTACATAGATAATTATCTGTCTGTTATCTCTCAATCAAAGTGATAGTTCTATCCTTTTCTCCACTCTAATATAACAAAATCACTATTTTTGAGGATGGGTGTGGGTTTGGATACTGTATTCGCCTAGCTCCTATACTCACACCCATCCTCAAGATGGTTTATCTACTTATTTTCATTTTTTATCGATAGCATGGCCATAGCAATGGTCAAATTCAATAATATTCTAACTGGAAAATATTATATGTTGTTCTATATATTTGTATTATCATGTATTTTGTACATTCTTTCGCATTTCTACCGTACCATACTCATATCTAAACTTACAATATTATTAGACAATGGATTTGCAAAGAATTATATGACATATTACTATTATCGTTCATCATCTTATAACAAAACTAAGTTGGAACCAAATGTCTCTTTGTATTATCAGCATGCAACTTCAGATCGAAATTCATCTTATCCTTTTATTAGTGGTGACACATTTCGAGCTTTTTCTGATTATGTATATGATGAAACAAGAAACGATAATTTAAGTTCAGTAAAATATGGTGATATTGTTTTTGTGAAAACCGATATGCTTCCAAGTTTTTTTAATTCATCATTTGACTCTATACGCGAACCATTTGTACTTGTTACACATAATAGTGATGATCCTGCAACAGGAAGATATGTCAAATATTTAAGAAATCCCAAAATACTTCATTGGTATGCATCCAATCTTAATGTCAAAAATCTTCAAAAAATATCACCTATTCCCATTGGATTAGCTAATACACGATGGCCACAAGGAAATTTAGATAACATAACATTTGCTTTTAAAAACTATCGGAAACCTTGGTCTCAGCGAACGACTTTTCTTTATGTTAACTTTGCTGTTGGAACAAATACCGTTAAACGAACAAAAGCTCTATCAAAAGCATCCACAATAAAAAATGTACAAATAGTTAAAGGAAGAATTACATTTGAAACTTATTTAGAGCAGACAGGTAACGCAAAATTTGTTTTATCACCACCTGGTAATGGACTTGATTGTCACCGAACATGGGAAGCTTTGTTGATGGGTGCAGTACCTATTGTTCTGAGATCTGGACTTGATCCTTTATTTACAAAAACAAGATCTATTATTATTGGTGATTGGTCAAAATTGTCATACAATTTTTTATCATCATTTAACTTTTCGTTGGACAATAACTATGAACCTGATGTTTTATATGCTGAGTATTGGCGTGAAACACTTTTTAAGTATCGAAAAAAAGTTGATTAACATATATTATTTTTTCTACTGAATTATCCCGAGAAAAAGACTTATTATCTTACATAAATACACATGATATTGTTCAATTGTTTCATTATTTATCAATAGGTCCGAAAAAAATGGAAGTGATATATATGTTCAGTTTTGTTGAAAATATGTAACACTTGCCGTTATGTAAACATTCATCAGTTCAATAATGTATTATTATTGTGATCTTTTTTCTCTTTTGTTTTGTATGGAATAGAAATACTAAAAATAAAAGTATTTCATATGTATGGATCTCAAATAAAGTTAAAAGTTCTATAAATGAACGTTAAGAAAAATGTATTATTAAATGTTTGCATGTACCCAATGACACTCCTAAAGTGATACGATATAAATAATGCAGGAAACACAATAAATTGATAAGAAAATATTTTCTAGATACAATCTTCATGGTAACTAGAAGCTTATAAATAATCCACGAATATTTTTTCAACTAAAAACACTAATTAATAATTGGTAGCATGTTAGAATTTTCTTTAATCACCTATTTAAAATAAAACAAAACAGAACAGTTATCTTTTTCTAAAGTTTATTGATATTAACTATAAATAATTGTGCTTACTGATGCATTTAATATCTGTTTACTCTTTATATATAATAAAAATTATTTTTCTATACTGCTTTCCTAGGCAAAATCATATACTTAGAACATTCTATTGAATAAATTTTTTTTTCAAACCATGTAATCTGCCGATTTCTTATTGAACATGCAAGAATTTATTTATAGAACAATAGTTCAAGGTCTTCATGAATAACATTTGAAAAAAATGCAATTACAATTGAGTAAAGAAATAAGCTTCACTACTTAGTTTCGAAATGAGAAAATAATCTATTTAATATTATTCTATGTTAAACTTTTATACCTATTACAAATTCATAAGTATAATAAACTAGAATTGAATATTCATCATTTGTTCTACATTGCTATTTATTTTCAATAAAACTCAATGATGTTAATCAACAATCAAAATCAATTGAAATTTTCTCTCGGAATACATTTATTTTATTTTATATAAATTCATTTTTCCACTTATATTTAACAGGAAGAAAAAGCTTATTGTTTTCAAACCGATCAATATCGGAAAAGCAAGCGGAAGAAAATGTGTTTATCGTTGTACTACAATCGATTAATATATTTTTAAATAAATATAGAAAGAAATCTGAAATTAATTTAAAATATTTTATTTGTTCTATGAATTTACTTATAAAAACAAACCTGTTGATTAATATATGTAGATCTATGATGAAGAAAAAACATGAAAGTACCACATAAACTTTTTCTTATATTTTAATATTCTGATCGACATATATATATTCGGGTACGTTCATTCTTTTTGTTTAATTATATGGGAAATATATATTTTTTTTCTATTCTTTAGAGAATAAGTATTATTCAATGATCTTTATCTTAGAATTGAATAATAAAGAAAAGAGTAGAAATAATGATTAGAAGAAAAAAAAGAAAGTTTTGAATCGGTTGAATATTTATTATTTTATTTTTATCTAGAGTCATTAATGCATCTGGTTTTACCGTATTTTCAATTGATTTTCTTTTCTCTCTCTCGTTTTTTTCTTCTTCTTACAAATAGATTAGTTCCGTTTTTCTTTTCTTCTAATATTCAGCATTCTAAATATCTGAACTAGGACTTCTCAAGAGACGCCAACAACAGTAGCAATAACAACGTTGACGAGTTTCTCTTATTCTCCAATCGAACCGTACTTTAATTTATCGAGTAATCACTCTGCGTGCATTTGAGTTTGTCTACAATAAAGGAGAGAAAAAGAGAGAGAGAGAGAAAAAAAAGAGTATATCCAACAAAATATTTTCTCGTTCGTTCACAAAATAACAATCGGTTTCTAATATGCTATGCATGCTACGTCCCAAAAGAAGTAAGAAAACAATATTATGACATTGACAATAATAATAATAGAGAAAATGTATCAAACTGCTTACTAGCTTAATCGATGTACATATATGATGATATTAACACAATAATCATTAGCTTCTATTATTAAACTTTATTTTCATATTCACAATGCAATTTGATAGTTTTGATTGGTATAAATTTAATTATTTGCCCAGTATATATTTAATATTATTACTGACTGGAATTATTGTTTTTGTTGGTAAGATTTGTTTTTTTGACTTTTTAATAAATTAAATGAAAATTTAGATACTCAAAAACCAAATATTCCTAGCACCAGTCGTCAGATGTGTACAAAGGTTAGTTATATTTTTTTTTGCTGTAAAAAAATCTTGATTTAAGAAAAAGAGAGTAATAAATTTTTTCTTTTCTTCCGAGTGATTTTATACAATTAAATTTTATATAAAATAATTCTTATAAGTACGTTAGCTATTATGACTCTTCATCGATTGTATTTTCTATAAAATAAAAATCGAGTATTTCTTTTCTTTAGTCGTGACTTTTTTTTCAAATGAACTGGAAGAGGACATAATTATTTAAAAATATTTACCACCGAATAATCTGTCTTATGATCAATTAAGGTAGAAATATTGAAGGTTTAGTCTTCACGCACAAGATATAGTTATAATCAGTAATGAAAAACAATTGATTTATATACATATTTTTCTTATTAAACTATTCTAATCAATGAAAATTTGAATAATATAGATCAAATTTTTGAGTTTCTTCTCGTTAATAAATACCGAGAGAAACAAAGTTGATAAAAACTATATACCTGAAACCACAAGAGAAACAAAAAAACATTTTTCTACGCCGTTACTATTCAGAATAATTAACAAAAGAATAATTTTGACATTTGTAACTTTAGAAAACGCGGGCATGACATATACTACTTCTCATTCTAGAGTATATAGTTTTTTTCCGAATGTAATATAAACATAATATATATTATGAAGAAAAGAAAAATACATTTAATATACCTGCCATCCCCTTGAGAACAAAGTGACTACAATGAACAAATAATAGTAATACATAATATTGGAAATTGTATACTTTTAGATTCAATCGATGCTTTCACTTGGTAAATATCACACATATCAAATATCATCTAATATAAGTTATGTTTCTCGTATTGATGATCAAACTTTTCTTGCTTATTCTGCTTTTGATGATATATTAGTATTTCTTGAACCAAAATATCAATTATATATATACAGTGCTCAAACTGTACGTTTAATTGGACAAGTACTTGCGCCAAATATTGTTTATATATCATCATGTATATCATTAATAACTAGTGATCATCATGATCTATGTTTTGTATATGAAACACGTTTAAAATCAAATCTTATATCAATACGTGTTTGTGAAGTACGTTTTAATATAACAAGATTAAATTTTGAAGATAAAAAATGTATTGAAATAGTATTACGTCGTGATGTAGCACATGTACGTATTAATGGTTTTACAATAAATCGTGATCATGCTGGAACAAAAAAATCTTTATTATTTATATCAACAGCTCATGGTCTTATTTATGCAATATTTGATATGCGTACTGGTGTATTAATTCGTAAAGCAATAGTTTTAAATGAAACATTAACTGAAGGTAGTGCTGTTACGACATCCAAAGGTGTTGTTTATTATGCTAATAAAGAAGAAAATACAATTCATGAAATACATATAGCACGAGATTATCGTATACGATATGGAAAAATAATTAAAAGTAATGGTATTAAAAATCCATTTGGTTTAATTACAGATGAATGTAATCATTTGTAAGTTTAAAAAGAAAAATTTTTGTTTTCCGTTGTCTTAATATGAACTTTTTTCAATTAGACTTATTGCAACAAAATCAATGATATTAATTATGTTTATGCAAACATATACAACAATACGAAGTATATTTTCAAAACCATCAGATTTACCAATTACAATGGAAAGAATGAATTCAACTACTTATGTGTATGCAACTATTAAAGGAACTCCAGGAAAAATTTCATCAAAATGGATGTTTAATTTTTTTGCTTTTTCTGGTAAGAAGACTAATTAGTAATATTTTTTTCTTAAGAATAAATTGAATTTTCTTTAGATCCATATAAACCACCTACTACTACTCAACGTTCAGGTAGGAAATGATTGATTGCATGTTTAGTCTTGCTTTTCATATTGTCTTGCACAAATATATATATGCTTATTTATCACTAACCTTCCCTTATTATAAATAGTTGTACGTATGAGCAAAGTATTCGGTTTTACTGGTAGTAAAATTAATAACACTGATATACCGATATCACATACAACATCATCTTATATAACAGCTACGACAGAAGTGTACACATACTTTTCTTCTACACAGCAAATGTTTGAACAAACACATACAACTGATATAACTACTGAATATCTACATAGTCTTTCAACTGAAGATTCAAATTCTACTTCATCGAATGAATTTCAGGATAACTTAACTAATAATAGCTTATACATTGATCATAGTGATTTCTCAAGAGACGTCACAACTACAATCAATCCTTTGGAGTTATCGACATTAGATGTCGAAAATAGAACAAATTCATCACTCGATAACAATATTTTTTCTCAAACCACTACAATGCAACAAATATCATCTGAGTCCAACGTATATACAACTTTAACTACATTACTTTCAACAATCGACGAATATCAAGATGATATAAGCACTCAACAGACGGCAAATACTGACAATATATTTTTAAATGATACTTTAGAAACAACATCTGAAAATATGTTAAATAGTGATATGATGAATTCTTCACAATTAGTATCACAGATTTATGATGAACAGACTAATTTACTATCAACAGAAAAGAATAAGCTAGATGTTTCTACTATTTCTGATGAGACTATATCATTTCAAAATACCACATATGAATCCGTAGATGTTATAGAAAATTCAACATCATCGATCATAGTTACTGATTATACGACTAAAGAGATTGAAGATGAAAATACACAAAAAGATTTTTCATCAATGTTAATAGATGTTACTGTCTCGTCTACCTTGCACTCATCATCATTGTTCGTTATGTCTAGTACAACCTTTATTCCTTCACATAGTTCTAATGCACCATCATCACAGTATACTTTACTTGCACATTCGAGCACGGCACCAACAAAATTGAATATGTTATTATTATCATCAACATACTTTTCAGAACTAGATACAACAGAATCTATTGCTACTACTATCCAATCATCATTATCATCATATGGTAGTACTTTGCAAACAAGTACAGAATATATGACGTCAGATACCACTGAAGAAAATTCAGTTACTACTTTATCTGACGAAACATCTTCTCCTATCATATCAACTACAACTATTGATCAGTTGACATCACAAACTTCAGAGAACTATTTTGAATCATCGACTACTGAATATGAAACACTCTTGACTACTCTCATTACTAGTACTACTCTTGATTCAACTACTATAGCTGTTACAGATGAACCATCAACATATTCGTTAAGTACCACTGATATCGAACCGACTTTATCAACAATCGAGTCTCTCTCATCTGAAATAACACTTACATCACTGATAACGGATACTTACACAGATGAATATACTTCGACACAATTTTCATTAGAAGAATCATCAACTACCGACGATGTTTTCGAGGAAGAGACTTCTACACAATCTTCGTTAGAAGAATTATCAACTACCGATGAAGTTTTAGACGAAGAGACTTCTACTCAAATCTTATTGGAAACATCATCAATCTTTTCTACCGAATCTTCATTAGAAGATACAACAACTGAACAAACTATTCTTCTTACCACAAGTATTCCTTTACGATCTAATCGTCCAACTAGAAGAAGAACTAGAACATCAACTACAACTACCTCTACTACAACAACAACAACCACAACTACAACAACAACAACAACTTCTTCAGTTTCTATCTGGCATTCTACATTGAATTTATTTAAAGAACAACCGATACCTATAATTAAACCACGACCAAAATCAAATGAACTACTTAATAAATTACTCGATAGTACAAATAATTCTACCGAAAAACTTCTTTCTCTTAATTTATCAGATCTTCCACCTTCATCATGGAATCTATCATTACATACAAATGATAGTATTCTTCTTGATATAATACTACCTTCATGTACTGATTTATTAGATTGTAATGCAACAACTAATTTATCAATAACTAATATTGAAGCAGATCGTTTTGTAACGACTATTACTGGTTCTCCAATTAATTTACAAGTTGATCAAGTTAATACAAAAGAATTTTCCTTAGCAATGAATATAACAAATGATCAATCAAATCAATCATCACCATCTGAAGTTATTATTGGTCATATAAGAAGTGAAAAATTTCATTTAGATATAACTAAGTCAGATAATATGAATATTCAAGTTCAACAAGTTGATTCCGAAACAGCTGAGCTTTTTTTTGATAGTACATTTTGTACAAGTGAAACTAATTTACAACTTAATTTAAATCTTTCAAAAAATGGTATAGAAATGTTTTTCTTTTTTTATTAAGAACCAAAATATTATTTGTTTATTTTGAAGGAACTATTCGTTATGGTAATCGAACACCTGTTACTATTGGACCAGTTTTTACTCGAGTACATATGTTAAAACAATCTTGTGATCTTGATCAACCATTTGCATTTTTTTTCGATATATGCCAAGGACAAAATCCATGTTTAAATGGTGGTACTTGTCAATCACAAACACCTGATTATGATAGTCCATCTTATAATCATCAAGATACATCAGAAATTAATTATAAATGTATTTGTCCAATGTATATGTCGGGCGAACAATGTGAAGAATCACAATATCCATTTGGTTATTGTATTAATAATGGAACATTAATTTATACATTAGATATTTATAATAGATCAATGGAATCATGTATATGTTCCGAAGGTTTTCAAGGTATTCATTGTGAAGAAAATATTGATGATTGTGTTGGTGTTCGTTGTTCAAATCATGGAGTATGTCAAGATGAAACGAATAATTATACATGTTCATGTTTTGATGGATATTATGGTGGTCAATGTCAATATAAAAATGTTGAAACTGTTCTATTACAAGTAGCAAGTAAATCATTTGCTACTGTTGCTATTCTATTAATTGCTGCTATTGCTAGTCTCGTTGTTGCCAGTGATATTCATACTTATTTAACAAGAGAAAAACGAACAAAATATTCGAAAGTATATAGACTTCCACGTATATCATCGGAATTATATGAAAATTCCTTACTTTTACTTGCTTTTGGTGATGCTCCTATTGAAATGAATGATTTATCAACTATGCGTAGAAAAAGAAAAATTATAACAGCAAAACAACATAAAATGAATCATAAAAAGAAAACTCGATATCAACCACTTGCAAAAAGAAGATATACAAATACATTAAAAAAATCAGTTTCAAAACATCCAATATTATCAAATCCATATTATGAAACTATTCTATAACAATTTTATTTTTTTGTTTCTCTCGTTGCTTGTATTTCAATAATAACATAGTTAAGGAAAATAATCTCATAAGATGTTAGATCATTATTTATTTAGTCTATAATTAAAATCAAATACATACAAACAGAAGAAAAAAGAGTTGAATTATAAACAACGACTTATTTCTTGTGTTGTTATACAATTTTGACATTGAATATGACAACACCATTGAAAACGACAATTACATTGACTATGTACTGTCATTATTTGAGATTGATAACCACGATTACAACAAAGTAAATCACAACCATCGATAGCACGTGATTTTCGATTACATATACGTCCTTTTGTACCAAATGAACCGACAGGTAAATTTAATTCACAATAATTTGGACTTGAATTTAGAAAAATTAATTCATTTTTAACTTTTTGTAATGGAAGTTTTTCGGGTAAGAATTGTATATTTTTCTCAATAGATTTTTTTTGTAAATACACGTGAATTGAGTTATCATAAAATTCTTTCAATTGATTAGCAATTTGTGTAAATGAATGAAGTGAACGCCAACATGATTTAAATTCACAAGAACCTGATATACCATAACATTTACATTGTCGATCAACTGATGAAAGAATTGTCTAGAAAAAAGAAGAATGAATTTTCTCAAAAAATTATTGAATATGAAATTTTACCCGAATTCCAATTTGATTATTATGTAGATTTAATAAACTTGTTTGTGTCTTTTTTTTATTTTCTCGAAGATTAACAAATTTTCTTGCTAATTCCGAGCCAAATAAAACATTATCAGAACAACCAGCCCATCGAATTGAACTATTACTCGTTTTATCTTTCATTGACATATCACATCCACATGAACTAAGTCTTCCTGTACTACATGCTTTTGTTATTGTATAAGCAATACCAGCTGAAGTTAACGCATGTATATACGCTGATTCTTTTGTTCCTATTTAATTTAAAAAAACAATTTTTTTATTTTCTTAAAAAAAGAATTAAACCTGAATCAAGAATATTTCCCATTAATTGATTATTTTCAAATAATTTACAATTCCAATGACGATTTTTAAATTGTATTTGACATTCTTCTAATGCTAAGTTCGTACCAAAATATATAAAAGGCATAATATGTACATTTCGATGACAAAATTGAATCTGTCGATGATTAAGACCATATTTAATATGGCACAAATTTTCTTGTACTAACGATACATTCGATATCTGAATAATTGATCTAATAATCAATAAATAATCACATGAAACAAGTGTATAGATAGATTGTTTTATTCAAAAAAGAACAAACGGCATACATATTTGAAAGATAAATGATAAAGCATATCTTTTTTTTGTTTAAACTTCTTTTATGTATGTATGATTAATAATCTAACATGATGTTTATATTTAAGTTATCGGAATAACCTTTTACTATGGCTTTTCTCTTTTAAATATAATAAAATTCTACTTACAACCATTGTTCACTTAGATTGATAGAGATGCATAATAATAATAAAATAGAGAATTTCATTCTATTAGTAAGAAAACAGTTGTTGTAAATTGATGAACTATATGTATTGTGTGGATATTGTTGAATATACAAGAGAAGAAATGAAAGTGAGGAGAATATCTCAGGACTGATAAAAACAAAATATCGATTGGTTGTTTAAAGAAAAAAAATAGAGAAAGAGAGAAAGAGAGAAGAGCAATCATTATTCTCACCCTCTCTTCTCTTATTTATTTAAGATGAGAATTCACTAGTCTGATTAACATATAGACGACAAGTCATATACACGGTGGTATCAATTAGATACACATATATCTATTACTCGACAATTGTTATTAATTTCATTACTTGTCATCATTTTTAAACATAAGTCATTCTTAATTTAACTGAACATATTTTCTAAAACAATTGATCTTATCTATGTTAATCTCATTGTTATACATTGCCATCTATCATAAAAGATTTTTGTATTTGTTACAGTAACTGATCCAATGAAAAAGTCTTGGTTCAAATGTACATAAGTTAACTATACCAGTCGACAATTCATTGCGGTAAAAGAAAAGAAAAATAATTTCACGACACCTGTGAAATTACATTTTACCGTTCTGTTCTGTTTTTTTAACCATATATATATCTACAATTTTCATGTTGTTAGTTGTTCAACTTGTTCTATTACTTTAACAATTAGAAAAAAAAACTCTAATGTGAGTTTATATCATGTCAAAAAATTTATTTATCAATAAAAATATGAATTATTTCGTAGGATACAAATCGAAACAAGTGATTCATCAGATGATGAAAAGAATACAGATGGAGGAAAAGCAACAAAATTGAAAATTGCTGATGTAATTTTTTTTTCTTCATAGGATCTTTTCTATTGATTTAATTATGTTGTTTTTAGGTAGCTGAAAATGATGAACATTCTTCAGCAGATGAAAAAGAAAAAAATGTAACAAATAAAGTTTCATCTAAAACTAAACGAAAGACAAAAAGAACGTCCAATACTAAACGAGTAAAAACCCAAAAAGAATATTTCGAAAGACATACTAATTAAATTTTGTTTTATTTAAGAAACAAAACCGTCCAAAATCAACAAGTACTAGTGAAAGATCACGTAGGAAAACTGTTCAAACAGGATTAAATGGGAATTATTGGAATGTAAGTTAAATGATTATTTCATATAGTAACATTGATGAGAAATATTTCAGGTTGTTCAAATTGACCGTAATTCTACTACTAGTACATATAATTCCAATCAACTCAATGACGACGACGATGATGATGATGATGATGGCAATGATAGTATATATTCATCAGGAAGAGAAGATGATACTAAGCTTCAAAAAATCTTAGCATCATCATCTTCATCATCATCAGAAAGAGAAGTTAATCTACGAACATTACTATATTCTAATCGAACATTTATAACATGTCGAAGTCCAGAAGATTCATTTTTTCTTTGTCAAGTTCTTCAAGATGTTTATAATGATACGAAAAGAATTCGTATTCGTTGGTGTTCATTAGCTAATGAAAATGGTGATGAAACAAAAGTGGATGATAAAACACATTTTAAATTTGATTATGAAGATATATTAGATCCAAAAACAGTTTTAACTGGTATACCACATGTTACTCGTCATGCTGACAATACAATCTCATTAAAAGAACCAGATATTATTGAAACAAAACGTTTATTAGAAAAATCAATTCGTGGTGAAAGTTTATCATCGGATGAACCTATGGATTTATCGACAGAGAATAATATTAAAACATCCAATAAGTCAACGTCAGATTTAAGTAATGATAGTTTACCTATTAAAGAAGCATTAAAAAAAATTAAAAAACGAAAAATATCACCGGAAAGTTCACGAAAACAACCAGTTAAAAAAAAGATACGAAAAATGAGTGGTGAATCTACACTTAAACGACGACCAACAATAGATATTAATGATATAGAAGACGATGAAAAACAAATATTAAAAACAAAGAAATCGCCCAAGAAAACAGGTTTGAAATTTTTATATTAAATTATTTTCAAATATTCTTTTTTTATAGTAGCAAAACCTACTACAACACCAAAAGCACAATTATTCAAAGTACAAAGTAATCGTTTACTCAGGGAAAATTTAACAATAACTACTTATCGTAAAGAACCGTTTTTCGAAGACGAGTAAATATTAGACTTTTTTTGTAAAAAGAAAGACCCAAAGCATTATTCTCAATTTAGTTTATCTGTCCCATATGTTTCATCAATTGTTCAAAGCAAATTAGCAATTCGAGCTGTACTGATTAATGATCCAATACTGCTGAAAGGTCTTATTGATGATGTTAATCGTGTTTGTTCGGTACATGTACAACGTGGTCTTCACAATGAATTGACAGCTATTCATTATGCTATTAAAAATGATAATATAGAACTTCTTAAAATTTTACTCGAAGATTTAAAAACACCAAAACTTGATCGATGTCCATTTCCAACTGTTACAATGACTACACGAAGTACAGGAAGGTAAATGAATTATATTCTGTTGAATATTTTGTAAATTTTCTCCTTAACTTAGAGCAAATATTCATGCGTTTGGTTTTCGAACAGCTCAAATTATGGCTAGTCGTGGTGCTAAAGAGGGCAATAATGCATTAATTAAAGTAAATTCTTTGGTTTTTCTTAATTTTATCATTTAAAAATGTTTCTTTTAGGATAATATGAATGCATTAACAATATATCATGGTCAAGAAATAATTCTATATGCAATAAAAAATAATTGTACACGTCAAATATATGATCTACTTTTAGAAGCTTATGCCCACGTAAATTCTTTATTTTTGTATTTCACTAAAAATCTTTATCGCCTTCTTTTACTTTCCAGAATAATAATGTTTATGAAAATATTTCTCATATTGTTCGAGGTGGTTATCGTAAATTAGCTGCAAGTATTATTGGTGATATTAAAGATAATACATTTTATGGATTTAATAATCTTCATCATCAAGTTTTACTTTTTGATGGTGAAGATTTAACAATCAATCGAGCAACAAGTGTTGTTAAAAAGACCAAAGATAATTTTCAGATAACACCAATCCATTGTGCAGCTATTAATCCAAATTCAAAATATCTTAAACAATTATTAAATGTAATGCCTGAATATAATATTCTTGATAAATATGAAAGACGACCAATACATTTTGCTGCAGCATGTGAAGGACCAGAACCACTTGAATTTCTTTTATCAAAGTAAAAAATTTTGAAAATTTCATATATATATGATTTCTTTATTGCTACTATAGACAAGTGAATTTTAATGATGTTGATCGTGGTGGTAATTCTTCTTTACATATTGCTGCTATGTATGGTCGAGCAATAAATGCTGAGATTTTATTACGTACAGCTAAAGAAAAGGCGGAATCAAATGATGCTGAAGATCAAATAGTTCATCAAAAATTTGGTCTTGCATCTATAAATCGTTTAAATAAAACACGATTCTATCCACTTCATTTAGCTGTTGTTAATAATCATTTAGAATGTGTCAAAGTTTTACTTGAATTTGGTGCCAATGTTGATGCACCAACTAGTACATCGTCAGGAAAATTAACGCCATTGATGTTAGCATGTCAAAAAGGTTATTTAAAAATTGTTGTACATTTAATTGAAAATGGTGCTAGAGTTGAAGCACGTGATCGTTTTAAACGTACACCACTTATTCATGCTTGTATGTGTGGTAATGCTCATATTGTTTCACATTTACTTCGTATGGGTGCCAATGCAAATGTTTGTGATTCATCATTAAATACAGCATTACATTATGGTATTGCATATGGCTGGTATTTTTGTGTACGTTTATTAATTGAAGCTGGAGCAAATGTAAATTGTGTTAATTCGTGGCAAACAACTTGTTTAGCAGCTGGATTTTTAAAAGGACATTATGGAATTTGTGATTATCTTTTAACAGATCATCATGTTGATATTAATTTTAAAACTGATGATGGATTAACATTAGTTATGTTAACTGTTGGATTAGATGTATCATCATCATCTGTACAACAATTAGATTATGTTGTAACAAAACATAAAGCTGATTGTACATGTGTTGATTCGAATGGAAATAATGCAGTAAGTCATAAATGAAAATTTAATTGTATAATTTTTTTGTTGCTTAGTTTCATTATTTGGCAAGCAATATATCAGGACAAAATATACATTATGAGGTAAGATAGAAGATGAATTATTTTAATTTTAATTCTATTCTGTTTTTGTAGAAAAGCGAAGATGAAAAAGCTCATCATGACAATTTCTTTCAAATCGCTCAAGTTCTTTTTGATCATGAATGTGAACCCAATAAATTGAATAATAAAGCTCAATCGGCTCTTATGATTGCATTAGAAGCAGGAAATTTTCTTCTTGTTGATTATTTAATTAATAAAGCTAAAGTTGAAATTAATCCGGATGTAAGTCATGATGGTAAAAATTTATTACATTATTTTGCAATTAAATGCGATGAATATGATCTTATACAAACATTAATTAAATTGGTAATTGATTATTAGTTTTCTTTTATTAATAAAATTTCTCTTTTTATTATTATTATAGCCAATTAATGATGAAATTAAGAAAATGAGTCAAATGTTTGATAATAGTGGTCGAACACCATTTCATTATTGTACATCAAAATTCAATGAATTTTGTCTAGCAAATAAAGTATAATTCAAATTTAATAATAAAACTCAAATTTATATATATTTTTTTGTCTTTAGTCTGCAGATGGTACAGATCTATTAAAAAAACAATATCAGTCAATTATTCAAATGATTGAATATTGTCTTGAATCAGTTCAATGTGATCCAGATCTTGAAATTCGATCAAATAATGATTTAAAAAAGTCTACAACTGAACAGAGCATTGATGATGAAGAACAATCCAATGAAAATAGTCAACCTATGGATGATAGTTTAGATAACGAAAAGATTTCAAAACCTAAAGAAACTAGTATTTTTTCTCTATTACGTACTGTTTCATTTGCTAGTCAACATCCTCTTGAACTTTTTCTTACAAAAACAAAAAATATAAATGTTCTCCATCATGAAACACAACGTACACCATTACTTGAAGCTATATTTCTTCAAGAGTATCAAACAGCACATATGCTTATGAAAGAATCTTCATGTGATATTAATTTATCAACATCCATTGTTGAAAATGAACGTCAACAAACACCATTAATTTTAGCATGTAAATTACAATCATTATTAATTATACGTGATTTATTAAATCATAAACAATGTCATATATTAGCACATGATAATCAACAAAATCAAGCGATACATTATTATTTAGCGACATCAAATCGTTCAAATCAATATTTAGATTTATTGAATTTATTTATTGAAAAATTAAAACAAATTGATAGTTTAAATATGTCAGGAAAAGATGAACGTACACCATTACATATAGCTGTTTATCATAATTCAGGTGCAATTGATTCAACAACTGATGTTGAAGAAATCTTAATTGATAATAAATGTGATTTACTTATCAAAGATAAATTAGGAAATATACCATTACATAATATTTTTTTAAATAAAAATATTGGTGATGATCCTGTTGAATTATGTGTTTTAATTCTTAAAGCAATGAAATATGAATCATTAGATACGAAAAATAATGAAGGAAATACACCATTACATTTAGCTGTTGTAAGTTATTTATGATGAATAAATTATTGATTCTTTTTTTTTGTATCTCTTAGTTAAAATGTTCTACTGTATGTATTACACTTTTACAACAACACAAAGCTAGTTTAATAATTGAAAATAATTTATCGAATTCAATCATTGGTACTTGTATTGCATCAGGTCATCTCAATTTATTTATAACATTTCTTCAACAATCGATTGATATTGATCTTGGTAAAATGCATAATATATTAATTAAAGAAATATCATCAGAACCTGCTCAACAAAACAACAGTCCATTTATGACTGCATCCTTTTTTCCAACTATGACTCCATCCCGTTTTCCAATGCGAGCTAAACGAGTACAATTGACTCCTCGTTTGAAATCTACACAAAATCAGATAACTACAACAGAAAATAAATTATTAAAACAAGATAATGATAAAGAGACATGGATATGGAAATATGCAGATATAAAAAAACCTAAACAATTTAAACAATATTCATTGATTTATTTAATTATTGAACGTGATTGGCAAGGTGCATTATCATTAATTTTAAATGATCTTGAACGTTTTCATTTAAGTTATATACAAGTACTTGAAGCTGCTATATTAAAGAATAAATTAAATCTTGTTCTTCGTCTTTTATCACGTCTGAAAGATAAAACTATTTTACATGGAAAAAATTCTCATCGACAAAATCTCTTTCATTTATTAGCGAATATGGATTCATATGATAATGATATATTTAAACAAATACTTTTACATATTCATGAATATCATGTCGATTGGAATCTATCAGATAAATATGGTTCATATCCAATACATTATGCATGTGTTAAACAAAATTTTCTTTTTCTTTCTTTCTTACGTGAAAAATATCCAACAGAATTTAGTTTAAATCAACTTGATACATATGATAATCCAGCAATTAGTCTATTATTTTGGACAACAAAAACAGAAATTCAGAAAAATGAAATTCAATCTTTAGTTATATATGGTAAACAATTAGATTGTTTATGTAATTATCAAAATGAAATAGCAATGAATCCATTATCATTTGGTTATAATGATTCATCAGATACAAATGAATCTTATCCACCAATGAAATCTGATACTAATTCAACTAATATACGAACATCACCATTAATAAATGCTATTGTTCATAATAATTTTCAACTTGTTAAATTTTTACTTCAACTTGATACGGATGTTAATTTTCCAGATGCAGAAAAACGAACACCACTTATGCATGCTGTTCGACAGGTATAATTAAAGAAATGATCATTTTGTTTTTCTCTATTTTAATTTTTAGAACAACATTGATATTGTCAAATTACTTCTCAATAAAGATTATTCTCTAGAAGAAAAATCTGATCCATTTCAAGGTTTCCAAGCTCATCATATTGGACTACGTCCTGGTAGGGGAAAGGTTGCACCAAATTTTTTTCTCGGTGCTACAGCAGCAGCAGCAGCTCCAATTTCAACTTCATCAACAACATCAACTGATGAATCCAAGAAATTTCTTGTAACATCAACAATTGATTTAAATGCAAGTGATCCACTTGGTCGTACATGTATACATCATTTAGTTCAACCATTTCCTGATGGTTCCTATACAAGTAATATTGAATTACTTCGTTTACTTCATTCATCAGGTGCATCAATAACTCAACTTGATCTTGCTGGTTTATCACCATTACAATATGGTGCTATTAATGGTTGTCAACATTTATGTGATGAATTAATAAAATTAATTAATGATGAAACAGGTTCAACTCAAGCCATCATTGAACGATTTTATATCAATGATCCAAATAAAAATCTTCTTGATCAACCTGATTTTTATTCTGATGCTCAACAATTAATTGATAAATATATTTCTAAACATCCATCACATACACAAAATACTGCCTATCAAGTTGATCATTTATCTGGTATGAGTGTTACAGGTGAAGTTTTAATTGATACAGACAAAAATGAACCCTATGATGTACGTTTAACAAAAACTGATGTTAATTATGGTATTGTTGGTTTATATAATTTTTATCGTATGCAAATAATAAAACATAAAAGTAAAAATAATTTATATTTTCTTTTTACACGTTGGGGACGTATTGGTGATGCTGAAGGTCAATATCAGTTAACACCATATTCAACATTAGATGAATGTCGAAAAGAATTCTTAAAAGTTTTTCGTGAAAAAACTGGTAATGCATGGAAAGATACAAATCAATTTGAAATTAAACCAAAAAAATATACATTAATTAAATTAAATGAACGTGAACTACATAAGTATTCAAATGTACCAATTGATTTTGAACGTTTACAAACTGAACATATATCATCCAAACTTCATTCATCCATATTTAAAGATTTTCTTAAAACATTAATTAATCGTCAAGCTATACGTTTAAATATTGATAAAACACAATTAGATATTGAATGGATGCCTGTATCACAATTAAAACGTGAAACATTACAAAAAGCACGTGATTTATTAATTGAATTAAAAAATAATATTGAGAAAAAACAAGAATTAACTTTAGCAATACAACGAGGAAAAACAATTGAACAACAAAATCAATTTAAAACTATTTTAGATTCGATTTATAAACATACCAATGAATATTATACAATAATACCATTACGAGGTTATGCGGATGAAAAATTACCTATTATTGATAATGAAGGTCAACTTAAACAACAAGAAAAAATACTTGATGATTTACTTGAACTTGAATTATCCTATAAAATACTTTTAGGTGCACAAGCTAATTTAAAAACAATTTCACCATTAGATTATTTATATAAATCAATCAATTGTCAATTTGAAGCTATGAATAAAGATGATATTGATTCACAATTAATTTTACGTTATATATGGGCAAGTGCATCAAGTATACAAGTTGAACAAATATTTAAAATTGCACGTCCAAACGAGGATGAACGTTTATATAAATCGAATCTTGATAATCATTATTTATTATGGCATGGTACTAATATTTGTAATTTAATTAGTATACTTACAAGAGGACTTCTTGTTGGACCATTAGCTGCTATGGCAAGTGGAAGTTTATTTGGAAAAGTATGTAAAAAAAATTTAGATTTGTATTCTATTAAATTTTGTTTTGTATAATAGGGAATTTATACAGCAGATACATTTGCAAAAAGTCTTGGTTATTGTTCAGGTGTAAAACAGAATGATGGTGGTGGTGAACGTTGTTTTATGATATTATGTGAAGTTGCTTTAGGTGAAATTAAAGAAATGGGTTTAAATAATGATGATGGTGATGATGGTACAAAACAACTTGATTTAAATCAATTTCAAAGTCGTAAAGGTACTGGTCGACTTATACCTGATCCACGATATACAGTTACACGAAATTATGGTGTTCGTATGCCACTTGGTAATATGATCGATAATACAGATATTAAAGTTGGTTTTTATGGTCTTAATTATAATGAATATATTGTATATGATGAATCACAAGTAGCTTTACGTTATCTTGTGCAATTTCGTCGTTAAAACTGATCTTTTTTTGTTTTCATAAAAGCGTCAGTGATACTTGATTAACTAGCAAATATTTAGGCTTATTTCTTCTTTATTTGTTGTATGTGCTTGTTGTGTAGCATGTTGTTTCGCTTGAAATTTTTTGCGTTACAACATAGTTTATGTTGATTGTTTTCTTTTTTAATGATTTGTCATTCTCTTTTTTTTTTTTGTGTTTTGAAAGTTGAAAATAAAAAAACGCTTTTTGCCGAATATGAAATGAAACTACCCGTATCAATTTCTCAATTATGACTGAAGAAAGATGAGTAATTTCTTGAGAGTGTAGGTGTGACTACTCTTCTTCACCCACACCCACACCCACACCCTCAAGATAAAATGGTAAGAATAATAAAACTGTATTAACGTTTGTTTGTTTCGTTGTCAATGTACTTTTTTCTCCTTATATTTGCATTTTAAACGGCTAACTAAAGATCATCATTACAGTTGCTTTTCGCGGAACGATTTAAAATCAAAAGAAGCCACATGACTATTCTTAATAATGGCTTTTTGTTTTTAGATTTAAACAAAAAGAAATTATTTGCGTCTTATATCGTTACTATTGATAATATTTTTCTTCAAAGATTTTCATGCAATGTGACTTGTAATGAACATCAGTCTAGTGATGCATAACATATATACTGTTACAAGAGCATTTCCATATTTCTTTCTACTTCTGCTTTTTTTTCCAACTAGAATAGGATGAATTCTACCACCATTTATATATACACTATTTACTACAACAAAATCATCCGTGTCGTCTTAAATAATTGTTCTGGTGTATAAAAAACAATAAACGGCACATTATTTGATAAAGAAATCATTTCATAAATTATTTATTTGAATATGAAAATAAATTTTCATTACATGTAAAGTATATAGAGTTCCTCAACATCTCATTTTTTGAGAAAGTTAATTTTTTCAATTGCTATCAACAATTGAAATAGCCATTTGCACCCTTATGATTACAAAATTATTTCTGTTTTGTTCAACAATAGTATTTCATACTCAACTTATGAAAAAATTTCTTAATATTTTTGTGCTTTTTGAAAGCTATTTTCAATCAAACACTTCCTTTTTTCCAACAGAAACCAAAAAAGTTCTTACAATATCCCATTGTCATAATGAATTTTATTATCTGCAGTAAATTAGATAAGTTAGAGAAGTTTCTTTGATCTTACTTTCATTAATATTAAGTGTACAGTGTTTTTTCAATCATTGTCATATTGCTTAAAGCATGCTCCGTGTATAAAATTTCACAAAGCTCGTTTCATTAGTTTCGTTATAATAAATTTCATACATTTATCAAACATTAATATGATGTCTGACAAAAGAGTGTAAAAGAAAAAATAATTCGGCGAAAAAATTGTATTTCTCTTTCTACCTATATTCGATGAAAAAGTGTCGCCTACACATTGGCAAACTACAGTAGTGGTGTAGACAGAAGCAAGAATAAGTTGGAAAGAATAACAATAGAATGAATGTGATTGTTGACTCCTGTTTCGTTCGTTCTTTTCATAACATTACCAACAAATTTGTTTGTTCTGATCCGTTTTTTGCTTTGCACAATACTATTTTCAAACGTAACCAGATGAAGTTTGTCCTTGAGCGGCAACAAAAACACGCGAACATTCAAAGTCGCCGAAAAATCGAGAAAAAATAAGTCACTGCCTATATAAAGACGAACGGTGATCTTTCTTTTCATTCAAACAACAGTATCTACTGACACGTTCACCTTCAACAACAAGTTATCACAAGATCAAAATGAGCGGATCAAAATCCAATCAAAATGCTGCTACATCATCCAGATCAACAGCACCATCAAGTATTCGCCATCCACGACAACGTATGGCACCAAACTACCTTCTCATCTGGGTAGATAACAGCATCGACCAAGAAGACGAGGACTGCCAGAATACACTGGTTCAATTGAAGAATGTGGTCAACGATGTCAAATTATGCACGGAGTCGGATCAGTGCATCGAAGCACTCAACACGGTTGACAAGCAACAAGCCTTTGTCATAACATCAGGTTCATTGGGCCAACATCTGGTTCCTAAAATTCATGGCATGCCACAGCTAGATGCCATTTACATCTTTTGTGGCAACAAATCCAGACATGAGGATTGGACTCAAAACTGGACAAAAATCAAAGGTGTCCATACAAACATCAAAGAAATATGTCAAGCATTACAATTGGCTGTTAAGCAATGTGACCAAGATTCAATTGCTGTAAGTTTTCTTACAGTAAATGAAATGGTTTCAACTGATAATTTAAATCAGTTGGAGCCAACTTTTATGTATACACAACTATTCAAGGAGATTCTCCTTGATATCAAGTATAATCGCAATGCAATCAAGGACTTAGCAGCTTGTTGCCGTCAAGTTTTTACTGGCAATCCAGTTGAATTACAAGTGATTAATTAATTTGAACGTGATTATCGTCCAGAAAAAGCAATATGGTGGTATACACGTGAGTGTTTTACCTACAAAATGCTCAATCAAGCACTTCGAATCATGAATGCCGATACAATCATTAATATGGGCTTCTTTCTACGTGATGTACATACACAAATTCAACAACTGTACGAATAACAAGTCAATAGTTATGGACGAAAACCTTTTATAGTTTATCGAGGACAAGGTCTTATGAAATCAAACTTTGAAAAACTGCAGAAAGCAAAAGGCGGACTCATGTCATTTAACAACTTCTTGTCCACCAGTACAGATAAAGAAGTGTCCCTCGAATTTGCTCAACGTGCTTCATCAAAATCAGATATGGTTGGCATTCTCTTTATAATGTCCATTGATCCTTGCTTGAAATCAACACCATTTGCACTGATTAAAGAAGAGAGTTATTTTAAAGAAGAAGAAGAAATTCTTTTCTCAATGCACACCGTGTTTCGAGTGAATAAAATTAAACAAATAGACAATAAGAATCAACTTTATCAAGTGGAACTGCAATTAACGTCGGATGACGATCAACAACTACGATTACTTACTGATCGGATACGAGAAGAAGTAGATGGTACTGGATGGCCGAGATTGGGTAGATTATTGGTTCAAATTGGCCAATTTAATAAAGCAGAAGAACTTTATAATGTATTACTCGAACAGGCAACTGATGAGAGTGAAAAAGCGCTTTATTATGGTTGTCTGGGATATGTCAAAGATGGCCAGGGTGATTATGAGAAGGCTATTTGGTATTACTAACAAGGACTTGAAATTTATCAAAAAACTCTTCCTTCAAATCATTCTTATTTGGCTACTTCGTACAACAACATCGGTAGTGTGTATGTCAGCATGGGAGACTACTCAAAAGCACTTTAATTTTACGAAAAAGCACTTGAAATTTATCAAAAAACTCTTCCTTCAAATCATCCTTTATTGGCTACATCATACAACAACATCGGTAGTGTGTATAGCAAGTCGGGAGAGTACTCAAAAGCGCTTTCATCTCACGAAAAAGCATTTGAAATTAAACAAAAAACTCTTCCTTCAAATCATCCTGATTTAGCTATTTCATACAACAACATTGGTTTGGTGTATAACAACATGAAAGATTATTCGAAGGCACTGTCATATTTTGAACGTGCTCTGAACATATGGCAACGTGCATTACCTCCAAGTCATCCTCATATCAAAGGTGTGAAAGGGAATATTGAAATTGTAAAAGAAATCATAAAGAATAAACAATAGAGAAATAAAAGAAAGTTTTGTTCACTTTTTTTTGAATTAATTCTAGTTTGTAGTAACTCACGCGCGCGTACAGACAACAAGTCTGTAAATAATAAAAATGTAATGGACAGAGCCACCTGATAAAGTAATACACATACATATGTATGTGTATAAATGATCTTCTCGGACATATTTACTTTTCTAATTCTTTACGATAGAGTTCCATGCCATAAAAGAAGAAGAATAACTTGTATGGAATTGAACTGTAGTAGTCTTGAACGAGGCCTCGTATGATGAAGAAAAAGTTGAAAAACTGCGATATATATACCGATATGCTATCAAAACATGATCTAGTTGAATTAATCAATGAGTATTCATCATTAATAAGAACTAAATGAAAAGAAGAACCACTTATTTCTCATGTATTGTTCAACTTAGATACATTAAATATATGATGAATTATAATTTATTTTATAATGTACAAAAGTTAATTAAAGTCTTCTGATCTCAGGTCCAGAGTAAGAGAGAAATTGTTTAAATAGATATCTTACAATGATTTCTCATTTTTTTAGTGATCATCACACTTAGGTGTTTCGCAGAGAATACTATAAGATATCGAAATAGATTAGCTAAACCATCTTGAGGGTGGGTGTGGATGTGGATACGATATTCACCCAGCACTCATACCCACACTGGAATACTTTATGTTTGATAATAAATCTGGATGGAATATAAAATAAATGACAACGAAGACTTTAGTCTTGGATTTCACTCACTGTTTCCTCCTTGGAATGTGTTTGGGTTCCCATACAACAACATATTTTAAGTAGTTAAATGGTTACTATGTGGTATGATCTCTGACTGAATTAGTTACCATATCGTGATGATGAGAGCAACTTGTTAATGACTTAACAGCTTAATACAATTAGTTGTATATATGCGATCGAGATTTATTTTGAGAAACTTTCTTTCCTTTTATTGCATATTTTCCGTATTGTTACTTTTCGAAAGATTGAAAAATAAGATAAAAGAAATTGCTATTATTAATTTAATGATTGTTTTTATTGATCAATAATTGAAGTAAAATGACCTCTTGATTATTATTCAAAGATATTAATGCGTGTGATTATCTACGCCATATAAATACATTCAATTTCAGTCATTGAATAAAATTGTCAGTTGCATATTGTTTCACTATCTGAAAGATTGTTTTAGAGATAATTAAAATGTTTACTACTAACAATTATGTTCAATAACTACATGCAAATATGTTTATATGTCGTAGAGTTTCAAATAATTATCAATAAAAACTCATGAATTTTATCCACATGGTTCTTGTTTAAATAGTTGTGCACGATCTTTACAAAGATCAGCTTGTTTGAGATATTGTTCGGCTTGTTGATGTAAATATGCTTCGATTTCTTTGAAAAGTCTTTCAAATAAATCATTTTCATGTTCGAACATTAATATTTTGTCAGTATAATCTATGGCCCAACTAGTATGCTTAGCAATTGAACTACAATATATATATATTTGATATATATGTTCACAATCATAAATTAATGGTACCACTTTTGAACCAAATGAACCAGAAAGAATGAAAAAAATCTTTTGATTAGCATTTGTTTGAATAAATGTAACACATTGATTGGCATCAACAAAGATTTTGACATGTTGAGAAGAATCCTCAGTTAGTTTTGTACGAAAACTACTGATACCATCATTTGCATTCGCATCCAACCATATTATGATATGAGAGCAAGTCATTTTGTCATTTATCATTTAACAAAAACGTGATGTCATTTTTTAAAAAGTAGAAAAACGCTTCTTATATACATATATTAAATAAAAACAATAATTCCCGGAACGGACAAATGTGATTCATACTGGGGAAAAAACAGCTAAACGGAAAAAACCCAACGATTCGTTTCTTCCAAGCAATTAATTTCTTTCTAAGTATTCCGAACGAACAAAAACATTTTTCTTTCTATACTACTATTAAATATATTCATGTTTTGTATTTATATAAGTGCATTCGTGACTAATAAAAAGCGTAATGTACCTTTTAAAAAAGAAATTTCCAACAATATTTTTGTTTTACTCGATGTATTGACTTGTTCGTTATTTTTTTCATATCTATCACATCTCTCTTCGTATATTTACTAATACTTTATCAAAATAATTGATCGAACATATTATCCGTCACACATCATTTTTTTTTATTAAAGTCCATTTACATACTGCATGAAGTTTATACGCATATTTATTGATAGATGTGAGAAAATCTCAAAAGAACTTGGCTCATCAGAGGTCGAAATATACAAAATAAGTAAAAGTGTACTTAGAATTTAAGTTCATTTTGAATTGATTGATATATATACAATGAAGTAATTTAAGGAGAGTCTAATCTTTATTGATTTTTATGAAATAATCTATTCATCTGATTAATTGATTGGTGTCATCTCATTTTCTATAGAATTAGCTGTACTTCCGATGATGACGATTTAAAAACTTTTGTCTTGAATCTATTATATAAAAAAAAATATATCCATCTTTTTCATTTTCTCTTGTGACAATATTTACTCATACAATCGAATTTTCAAGTTTCTATTTTTCTTTCTAAAGGTTTTCATGATGTCTCATATTTTAAAATCAATATAGAGATTGATTATTTGTGTCTAAATTCAATCCAATCTATAATAATACCATTCAGATGGAGTTTATGCAATAAAAGTCAATAACTTGTTTATCAACATTTGCCAACCAAAGATACTTTTATCGAAAATTCATGAAAATTAATTATTTTTTATTTTAAAAATATTATCTTTTTTATAAACTAGAAAAAAATCAACGTTTTGAAAATGTTCATTTTGTCTTCTAAAGAAAAGTGGAATTATTTTTTTTTAATATTCAGTAGCAGATGTTATATTTCAAAGACCGTCCCCAAAGCGTTTGATGCCAGTTTGTGAGAAATGTAACATGCGTACAATGAAAAGTATACAGAATCCAACAACAACAAAAATCCGCAAGCAAGATCGAAATAATCGTCGCCAAAAACTGATATAATGTGTACGTTGAAATAACTGATTCATATATGGCGCTGACTGCAATGCGGCTCTGGGAAAACAAATCATTTGATCAATATTCGATTTGTCATCTTCACCTCTCCATGGAAGCATTCTGTTAGTTAAGGGTTTATTTAGCAACGATTCATATCGATCAGAGCATAATTTTTCAATAATACGAAAAACTTTTTCTTGTTGATTGCTTCCACAATCAAGAGCAATAGCGCCAAGTATCGCTTCAAAGCAATCCGAATACAAAGTTTCATTGAGATCTCGATGTCCATTTCCTCGTATAAGATATTCTTCTAAATGAAGTTTTTCACGAGCCATTTTTGCTAGATCACGATTTTTAATGGCTGTCTGCACACCTTCATGCAATCTGACACGATCTGTGACCACATCATCTGATCCATTGAGAAATAAGTATCGAGCGACGGCGTATTTGAGCGCAGAGTCACCAACAAATGCTAATGGGAATAAATCATGTTTAAAAGCCTTTGGATGATTTTCGGTAATTGCCGATGGATGAGTTAGAGCTTGCCAAAGTAAGTCTGACTTTGTAAATTTGTATCCAAGCACATCTTCAAGGACAGATCTTGATTTTATATCTATCCATGGTTTTGGCATTATACGGCAACTAAACTGATTTTGTATTGATATTTTGTTTCAGTAACTACTTGATAGTTTCTTAAATGAGCACAGAGTATATGAAAAATTTTATTCTAACTAAGATAAAAAGCAAATAATATTAAAATTCAACGTAGTCAATAAAATAATTCGTCTACCTTTTACTACTTCAAAGATAATCTGGTCAACGAGATATACTAAAATGGTAAGTTTCAACAATTACTATTTTTGTGTTGAAACATCAACGTTTGCCTGATTTATCTCACTAGATTATCATATAGCTTCTATAGTTAAAAACAAATACATTATTGAAACAAAAGAAAAAATACGATAGGATAAGTCAATATTATCAAAGTCTAACGAACAGAAAAGGACGATAATAATAATAAAAGGAAGAAAAACGAAAATGCAAATTTTAGACACACAAAAACTGATATAGTTAATGTGAAGTTATACGTTGTTTTGTCGCATATTTTTTTCTTTTCTCTGATTACTGTATGAATACTTGCAACTTTTGATCACTTACCTGTTTGTATCGCCATACATTACTCAGATAAAACAACCAACTGAAAAAATAATAAAGTACATAAAAAGAAATCTTAAGATATCTTAATAAAATTTGCTTCGTATCTATGTAAATTGTATAATATATAATAATAAAGTAGTCCTTTTTTCATAATGGCATGTAAAGGTGTTTTTTTTAAAGGTTCGTTTTCTTGAGTTATAAAACATATAGGCACACACTCTGCACCAAATTACGACATATTTATTGTAGGTTTCCTATCAATAAGTCAAGCATAGCATTATTCATAAAACTTTTGTTTTCCAATTAAATGAACACACTGTATTAGAATTCAACCGATATAATTTAAAACTTCTCGTTTGTATATTAGAGAATATTGTAATCACAGTGCTGAACAAAGTTTAGTCGTGGATTTGAAATTTATGCTATGGAATAGAAAGAGTTCTTTTCGTCTTTGAATATGAAATAAAATTTAGAAAAACATTAGAATTTAAAAATATTTCATTAAAATCTATCAGAAATTAAGATCTTTATTAAAAAGAAAAGTAAATATAAACATATATATAATAAATGTCTTTCTTCGTCTTAATACACATGATAGATGAAAGAAAATATATTTTATTTTATATAATATTGTCTCATTCATTATATTAGATGGTCAAGGTCATAAAGTCGATGATGAATAAATTCTTGATTTATTATTAATATATATTATTTGAGAAAAAAACTAATTTAGAGGACTCCTCTTTAATAATAATTGAAGAATTATTTTCTTTAGTTCGAATTGAAAAATTAAATGAAAATGATTTGATAAATTTTTCATTTAATTTCAATAATATTAAAAATTTATCAATTATTAATAAAAATTTAGTTGCATTAATCAATGAATGTGATTTCTATCGTGAAGGAATTATTAAAGAAGATTTATTTAGTTTTTATCGTTATAATAATAATGAAACATATCTTGTTAATATGATATGGATCGTTGGCTAAGAACAGATGAATTGAGAAAAATACCTCTATTAACCTATTTGAATAAAATTGATTTGTCGAATGAATTAAAACAAGAATATATTATCAAAAAAATGAAATTAAATGATATTAAAAATCAAAATTGGCATTTACAACCATGTTCTGCTTATACAGGTGATGGTTTGTATGTAGGTTTAGATTGGCTAGTACGTGCAATGAAACCCCCACTTTCTTCTCAATCGACATTGGTAAATGTAGAATCTACAACTACAAACAATATGAATCAAGCTGAAAATCAATCATTACAATGGTTATCTGAAGTAGATAATGATACAACTGAAGAATTTGCTAAAAAAACTGTTGAACATGATTTATCAAGTATGTGTGAGTGGGTGTGGGTTAGTGTTGCCAACTCTTCTGGTTTTTCCAGAAAAATTCCGGATTTTTCCACTTTTCCGGATTTTAGATTATTTTTATTGAACTAAATTATACTTATCTGTTAATACTCAACAAAAATTTTATTTGACAATGGCTCAGTGGCTTATACTTCTTATATATTTAGTTTATTATATTCTGAATTTTGATGTTGATTTTCTTTTGACATATAGAAACATGTGTTTTTTGAAATAATAAGCAGTATAATTGAGAATAAGATTTAGAGAAACTGTTTTTTGCCGATAGAAATTAACTGTTAAAAATCTATCCGGATTTAACAAAAAAACGTTTCCGGAATTTTCCGGATTTCCACATTAGAATTCCGGTTTTCTGACTATGACAGTTGGCATCAATGGTGTGAGTATCAGTATATTAACCAAAGCACACCCACACCCATATTCAAACTCCCATCCACACCCACACCCTTTTATCGACCATTCTTTCTTTAAAAGTGATGTATATATACAAAGTATATCTACTTCATTTATATATGTTGATTTTGGCAAAGAAAAGACTACACCTCTACAAAGTGGACACCTCTCTATAGTGGACACTTTTCGACGGTCCCAACAGTGTCCACTAGAGAGATTTTACTGTAGCGGCTAAAGAACAGTATTTCATTGATTATCAAGAATAGATATTTATTCTGATCATTTTTATTATTAAAACAATTCGAGCCAGAAAATAAATCTAATATTCTAATCGATTACACAACTCCAAAGTTCTTCTAGATATCAAAAATTATTATTTGACGTTCTTTATAATTGACTTTAAATGAAAGTTCGGATTAAATTATTTTCCTGATAAGAAGATAAAATGAATTATATCCGAGTTTATGCCCATAACGATGGTTTCTGACGCAGGATCCCATGAAATCTTCGGAATGCCACGGACCGGCCGTTTCCGTGCCGGATTGTTCGACTTGGATAATAGTGATAATACTGATAAATTCACCAAAGTTAAATTACATTATCAATTTTATTTTTATTATTTTGTACCATATATTTTAATCGATGATCTTCAAGCGATTGATTCAAATGCCATTGGATTATTTGGTATTGATAAACAAAATGAAAAAGTTGGGTAAGTCTTTTGAATAACTTTAAAATGAATTGAATTTGTTGAATAAATCAATTTTTAATATTTTCTATAGTCAATCAGAACGTGGTGACAGAATATATTTACATGAAATAGATAACATTCCAGTCGAACATGGACGTTTTATTTTAAATTATCTAACAAGTAATTTCTTTTTTCTGTTTTGTTTTAAAATATAATTTGAGTAAACAAGCAAAGAATAATTTGAACATTAATTTTATTGAATCTAATTGAGTTTAAACAAGTGATTGACATTTAGAAAATATTTTTTTAAAGTATTTAATCAGTTCTATTAAGTAATATCTTATGACAAACATTTAATCGTATGTGTTGCTACAGATTGCAACGTTTTTTTTCACTTATTTATGTGTATTAAATATTTTTTTTTTCTCTCAGCAAGGTCCAACACAAATAAGATCTGTTCGGATATGTTCAGAAACAGTTGCGACAATATTCGGTGTTCTGTCCTTCATATGAGCCATAATAGCAATCTTATAGCCCCAAATGATGAAGAAAAATGTTTGAATCAACTACGACAACGACAAGAAAAAAAACTAAAGAACAATTCTTTTCTTAAACATTTATATTTGAAAGAGAACAAAAATAAAGTCAGATATTTTTGTTTTTTCATAACTAATAATTATTTCAACTGAAGTAACAACATTGTCACTTATATTAAAATCCAGTTTATCTACAAATGTAGCTTATCGAATTGAAATTAAAAAACGAAAATACTTTGATGTACTTTAATAAGTAATATTTTTAGATAATAATTCATGTTTTTTTCACAAAAAGTTTAAATCATTCTTAACAGATGATTATCTTCATTTTCATTAAAGATTTTAAATAAATATTATTTTAAACTTTCACATATTATCTTCGGATTTAGACAAGATAACGATTCATTTCATAGTAATGAATTTATCTCAAATGTAGAAAAATGCAAAAAGAAACTGTTTTTTTATAAATAATACAAATTATAATTATTTTAATTCGTTAGTTTTTTTTATGTATCATATATGATAACTATTTATCATTAATAACATCTCTTAAATTAATTAGATTTTAAATCAGATTTTTAAACATTTAAAAATAAATCAATAATAATTTATGATTTTCATATATGAGATAATTTGATAGAATTTTAAACTTGAATTGGTTTTTATTTTGCAAAAAGTGAAGAAAAAAAAGAATTTAATCGAGAATATCAAAAACTACTGGTTCATATTTTGAATCATATTTTGTTAGTTCTCTCCTCAAAATTTGTTTCTTATTGATTTGAAGGGTGTGGATGTGAGTGTGAGTTTCTGCGAGTGTAGAACGAAAAGATTATTCAAGTTCACCAACACCCACACCCACCCTCAAGATTAAGAGGCATGTGTAACAATAATAAACTGGCTAGAAGAGCAGAATGCCACATTTTGTCAAATGCACTTTTAAAGTCGACAAAAATTCCTGATATAGGTCTATTTGGTGCTGTAATTGTTAAGCGTATATCTTCACATACAGTCAGTACTCTCGTTTGTAATCTCCTATTCGGAGTAAATCCAGATTGTTCGTCAACGTATATTCCTTGATCGTTACACCACCTTAGAATTTTCATAATTAAAACTAATTAATGATGTAAGTAATGCTTCGAAGAACATGTCCATTCCAGTTTGAATAATTTTTAAGATTATATCTTCAATGATTTTTCTAAATTTATTTCCGTATTCAAATGTTTCTATAATACAAGTAAGAAAGAAATTATTTTCAAAATTAAAATATTAACTTTATCTTACGTAGGTATTTATGTAGAAAAACAACTAGAAAATGTTTACACTTAGAACAATTATTTTAATAAAGATCATATAAACTTACGAATTAATATAATAAAAATGAAAACTTTTCGTGTTTTAGATAATGATGTTGTTGACGTTGATGATAGTGATGATAATGATGTTGATAATAATGATGACGATGATGATGGGTGTGGGTGTGGGTTAGAGTGTGGGTGAGGGTGTAGGTGTGGGTGTGGGTATAGATGTGGGTGTGGGTATAGATGTGGGTGTGGGTGAGGGTGTGGGTGTGGGTGAGGGTATAGATGTGGGTGTGGGTGTATGTACC